TACTGTGAGTACAAAATGCAGCAACCAAAATAGCCGATAGGCGGTGCGTAGTTAATGGTTGTACAAACTGAACGGGAACACAGTGCCTTGCACACAATGCAGGTCTGCTATTTAAGACCAGGAATTGAAAAAAGAGTAGCAGCAACCTCGACCACAATACTGAAAGCGATTCTTCACGGATTCAGTGTATCAAAAATAAATATAGTCCGAGGTGGATTATTGTGCAGATAAGCCCCACTAGGTTAGGGGAAAGTACTCACATAAAATTCAAACCCTGTATTGATGCATAAACACACAAAAAGTTGCTTTCTCTTACTTTCCGTTTCGGTGTGGCGGCGTGTCTAACCTGCCCTAATTACCTTACGTTGTTGTGTCTGTTCCAGGTTAATGTCGTAGGACGATCATGCCTCTGCATCTTGCTTCAAAGGCTTACTTCGTAATTCAACTGCTGTAGTCCCTTGCACCCTGCCATTTTGACAGCTTAGTTACACAATCAATCGGGTAACCTGTTTCTTATGATGAGTCATTATTTCCGAGATGAACCAGCAGCTTAGCGAGGCATGATCTTACAGGCCATCACGTTGACTAGTGGTGGTGGTGCGTCCATGTTTGTGTGACTAGGGTGGTCAACCGTGACATTCAAAATGGACTGTTGTGATTTCAGCTCTCAACCCTGTGTGTTGCTGTTTTCTAACCATGGCCCCCGAACCGAATTTTCTGTGTGGGTGTGTGCAGGTGTGTGTGTGTATGAGGAAAGAGGCAATGTGGGTATGCGCTTGTGCACTGACCCTGGGGTCAAGCTGACAGTCTATAATGAACAAAAGCAATTTTTAACAACTGAATGCATCTGCAGTAGTGGAACTGCGGTTTCGATTCGGGCCTTTAAGCTTCTGACCATTCTTTGTTCTGGGGATTCTGATTATAGTTATACAATGTCATTCGATCTCATTTACCTGCAAGCTGTTGTATTTTTCTTCGATATTTATTCGTTCCTCTTCTTTCTCTTTCAATTTCTGATGCAGCTGCTCAGCCCGTTTATGTTGTTTCTCCAATTCCAACGCAGACCGTTCCAACAGACGTTCCTGCAGTTCAGCTTTCTCCAGCAGATTTTCACCACCCACAATAATACGACTTTGCAACGCTTCCATGCGCTTCATCAAATTTATCTGAACCTCCTTCGCTTTGCGCAATTCAGCTTCTTTAATTTCTAAATGTGCCTGGTAAATTAAGCGTAAATACAGGTCAAAATATTGACAAGGAGAGGAGGGGTTGTACTTCGCGGTAAATGTTGAAATGTGATGATTGGATATTCGGATATAATGAGGGGAACCTTGACGGCTGCTGCGTATTTATTGTTCAATCCTCTGAGGAAAGGGCAAAACAGATTTTGGAGATCTAAGAGCAGTTTACTGATGTAGACCTTTGTTGAATTTGTTATTTTTGTACGGTGAATTTTGTGTACAGGGTAAACGAAGCGAGAACTGAAAAAGTAGGGAGCACTGGACGACTGTTTCGACCTGGTTGATTCTTATTAGTAGTGCGAATCCATCGATCCAACTGGGGATCAAATCCGTGACCTCATAGGTAGAGTGTCAGGATATTTTTGACTGGTTGTTTGACATCTTTATTGCACTATAAAAATCGACCACGCTATAAAGGATAAATCCCGTAATCTAATGGACACAAAGGGGAGAAATAATGGGGCATACTTTTCAAAATCGGGTTATTGAGTCTGTTTAGAAGTGTGAATATTGTGAGCAGGATTAAAGTTACAGAGGGTGAAGATGTTTCACAACTTGGCTGTTTTCGGGGAAATGATAAGCAAAAAAAGGAAATGCGACTAGTGGGAGCAATGATTTGGAAAATAGTCTCGGGGGTCCACGCGGCGGTTTGGAGGATGAAATAAAGCGGAGTCAGAGCGGTAGACGCGAGTCCTCGTGAACGAAGTCCATGAAAGAAATTTAAGAAAAGGTATATATTCAGTCTATGAATTTTGATTCTAGAAATGAGATTATAATGTTGTCCGAGCCAATCTCGCTACCTGTTGAATCTATTTCGCTATTCAACCCGACTTATTCATACCAAGAGATACTTTCGCATGTCCAGTCATCTTCCTTCACCTCTGGATTCGTATAATTTCTTTTTTTTTCTTACTAAGTGTTTTGCGCCTGAGCTGACCCAACAAGTGTGTTGATAGGACCGATTGTAATCCTCTCATTCATGACTATTGTCGCATTCGCCGTAAAGTGAATCACTCCCTCCTTTCCCCGATCTCCTTACTTGTAACACTCACGGCATCCGCCGGTCCACCGATCGGCACACAAACTGATTGCTTTTGATTCCGTATATTTTATTAGTTGATCATAATACGTTGAACTCTTATGCACGCATATTCGCCACCTAATTTATTCCGACCGCTGGTCTTGATCGAACTTCACGTACCGGCAATCGTTGAATTGAATGCACTGACAGTCATTGAAAGCTCCTTTTGACACAGCAGAACACGGTTTTCAGCTTGGCATGTTGTTGTACTAGTAAACTTTACTGAACAGGAACTATCATCTGAAAGCACCTTAGAGCACAAGCACGCACTCCCCGAATTACCTCACGATTTGAGGTTTGTGCCTATTTTGTTCAAACCATATGTTGCTCATAATAGTACCGCATTTCAAGACAATCTCATTCTCTGTTGGCTTCGGGATTTGTGCATCACTCGATAGCTCGGACGGATTTTCAGTGTGGAATCCACATTACCAGAATCTTCCGCAAAGATTCCTTCATTGCCGATCCTCACTTGTGGAAAGCTATAATCCGTGATGATGGCTGGAATCAAGTGCCACTCCGTGCTGATCAGACGTTTTATTACCGAACAGGGGTACGTGGATCCCTGATGAGTACGGATTTATTACCTTGACCTTTGAGTAGTGTAAGCGATTTGGTCCGCCCAAAGCGTAGGTTAGACACTGACCCGCCGGAAGTTGAGCCCCCGGTTACTCTCAACCTGGTTTCATCCGCGTGTCAAGCGATTTACTGGGGAGGCTGCGGTTGCATCCAGACAGGTTTTTGGAGCCACAGGTGAGGGATGAGCTCCTGGTGGAAGCTAAACAACGGAGGAAGCCCTAAGGGGCCTACAGCCCTCCAATTCAGATTTGCTACTCCTATCTGGTACCCCATAAACCTCAGTAAACAATTTTGGCTTAATTGGGATCCTGATTAACGAAGTTAACCGCCAAAAAGCACTGTGGTTTGTTCGACTCTAAATGAACTTGTATTTTTTAGTCACAGTTTACTGGAACACTGACATTAGTGAGAAAAAAACGAATGATGATCAACAACACCGCATTGAAAAATAAATCAAAGGAAAATAATATAGGAAACAAGCTTGTTTTCGTAACTTCGTCTTTAGGCATTTACAGTTATATGTGTGTTTATATCTGATGTAGAAATAAATGTGATTGGTCTATTGAGGTTAAGTGTGAAAATACAACAATGTCTGTCAAGTTTAAAAAAATGTCAAAGCACTAAGTGAACTGAAACAGAATACGGAGATCATAATATCGAAACCAGACAAAGGCGGGGTAGTGATACTATTGGCTCGTAAAGATTCCATAGTCAAAATTATGACAATTCTAAACGACAGCAACAAGTTCATGAAGGATGAAAAACGGAAAGATATCAATAACAGCGGAAGGATAACTGAGTAAATGCCTCAAAATGCTGAAAGATCAAGATTACATATCGAAATCTGATTAAGAACAACTAAAACTAATTGGGACTCATATCCCTAGACTATATGGCCTACCGAAAGTCCTTCAAGCTGGAACACCAGTACGATCGGTGCGAAACTCTCCTTTTCACTGAGATGCTCGATGGTTGGTAAAAGTCCTGGAACCAATCAGGAAAAGAATCTACAAACCGTCTGAAAGATACTTTTGAATTTGTCGATCTAATTCGGGACCTGGACGTCAAAGACTTGGAAATGGGCTCGTTGGACATACAATCACGTTTTACAAATGTGCCACTATTTGAGAAGGTATCTTATCTCTGCCAATACATCGATGATAAAAACATACAAATTGGTATTCCAACCGCAAATTTGAAGGAACTACTATTGCGATTTACATAAAATATGCAATTTTCTTTTAATGGTAAAATCTACAGATAAACGGACGGTGTCACCATGGGTTCCCCAAGTGGCCCACTTCTTGCAGATGTGTTCGTAGCCAAACTGGAAAACAACGAACTACTCGGCTCTCTGAGCTGAGATCATGTGTGGTATCTGTTCTTTGCAGTGTAATTTCTGCAACGGTCTCTAAATTGAGACCAATGAAATTACCTGTATTTTTATCTGCCGGATGGGTGCTGTGAGTTTGCTCAACCTCGTTCACGGGTCGGCCTCGTATTGCATTACCTTGAGGATTGGCCCATTAAGGGCGGTGGTAACGTCACCAAGTATCACCCCGGAGGACGATTGTTCGAATCCCACCACCACCACCTGACTTTCCCCATTTGTTTATTGTATGGCAGCATTTTGATTGGCCGCTTCCCCCTTCCTGAAAATTGTATCNAATTGTATCTTTGTATATTCAATAAAAGGAAGTAAAATGAGAAAAAGAAAAAAACCTACGAGGCATCACTCATCGAATCCCTCTATACCGTCGTTATGTCGACGACATTTTTATTCTTTCCGACCAAAGTATTTTACCGAAGATAATATTTGATCGTTTTAACGAAGCTCATCCATCAATCAGCTTTACGATGGAAACAGAAGATCAGGTTACGTTCCACTTCCTCGACGTTAACCTGAAGAAGTGGCCCAATGAAAAGTTATGCCGTTAAATTTTTCGAAAACCAACATGAAATGGTCAATACATCCTTTTCCAAAGTTGCATCCCAATCAAGTTTGAACGAAACTTAGTCCGATTTCTGGACTTCAGAACTCGAATGGTTTGCTCCAAGGATCTAGTGGAGGAAGAACTTAGATTCATCAAATATACACCCCTGATACCCGAGGCGTTTCATCGAGAAGAATCTCATAGAAAAGCCGACACTACCAAAACCAGTCATGATTAGAAAGAAAGAACTATTCTTGCATCTCCGGTTCAAAGACGATACGAGTGGTGCTCTACTAAGAAGACGTTTGGAAAAAGCAATTGTACGAAGATATCCAGCCGCCACTCTACGTAGGACGTTTACAAGCCTACCACAGCTCTGCACAAACCTCAAGGATAAACTGTCCATCTTCTCCTCATCTATGATTACATATTCCTTCACTTGCACTTGTTCAGCAAATTATGTTGGACGAACGATGGGACAGGTCTCACAAAGGATCACAGAACATAAACCGAACGGGTTTAGCACGGGTTGCAAAACAACAATAACCAGTGCGATTATGGCCCCCCTCACTGATATCGGGCACCGACCAGACAACGATGCACTTCAGATCACAATCACAATCACTTATACATTAGGTATAAACACACGCATAACTGTAAATGCCTGAAGACGAAGTTACGAAAACAAGCTTGTTTGTTGTGTTGTTTGTCTTTTGATATTCTTATGAGAATCTTCCATGAAAAGTGAATCACCTGGATTTTGTTGCGTTCTTCCAAAGCCATATCCTTTTGTTCTTCCAACTTTTTGCGATCGGACTCAATCATTCGTTGAATCTCTGTCATTTTCTGTTTGCTAAGTTTGTATGGACCACGTTTGAAACGTTTGCTTCTATTCTCTCTGTTAACACCCTCGGTCGCATCATTCGTGTCGCTGTCCTCGCCGCCACTATCCTCATCACCGTTAGCCAGGGTCCCGCTAGGTTCTCCATCTAAGCAAGCGCAGACAGACAAACGAAGAAAGATGGTCGTTCCGATCACTGAAAACTGCAACACTTGTTAAGAATTAACACTAAAATGCGCCCTACCGGATTCGGCTTTTTATGCCAGTATTTTCTGGTTACCAGGTTGATCCGACTAGATCGATTGGAGTGATATTACGCGATCGATAGTCAACAACTAAGTGATAATAATCGTGACGCACGTGCTGCGTTTTGTGCACAGGAGCACTGTACTCACAACAGTAACCTATTTAATTCGATTATACACTNGGCAATAAATTTTGACTAAGCCCATTACGACAGCAACATGAAATGCCTACAGGTTACATCAGTGGTCTCCTTTCCGCAGTTGCGCATTATTTCTTACTAAGATTGTTACACTTCTAAAACTTAATTCTGATACTTTTGGAGAGTGAACACGTGAACTTTCGGGCATATAACAAAATGGTTTCAATACTCCGTAGCCCCTTTTTAATAATCCTCATATTTTATTGTATTGTGTTCGGTTTACCTCATTCAATTGTTTATAGGTATCAAGAACTGTTAATTTTCACTCGGGTAGCCCGGGAGAAATTGCCGATTCTCGCACTCTAAGATTTGTCATCCGAATCCCGGCAGGGACATAAAAAGTACGTACCATTTACTAGTCCTGAAAAGAAAACAGAGCAGCTGTCCTGTGCTCTTTGTCCGTCATCACAGTGATTTCTGCTGCAAATAAATCTCCAAAACAGTCGTCGAACAAACCCATGATAAAAGGGTGCAGGTTTCTTGACTCATCTTAGCTGTACCCTGTTTAGAAATCATATATGTACATAGTGTCCAGTCATTCGTATACTACTCATTATGATATATAAATATATGTATATGTATTATGATACCCATTATTGTGGTTTCACATGTTGGCTAAATAGGAGGCTAAACGAAGTCCATCGATAGCAGAAAGATGTTTTGAATTACAAAGTTTCAACATCCTTGGGAAACTTGAAATAAACGTTCAGGTATAATACGCTCACATAATATTAAGTGAAGTTATACTCAAAAATGTATTTCAATATTTTAAACTCAATTATTTGAAAATCGTTTTGGGTATTCTGTGTTCGACTGAAGACCGTTCTTAATGTAAAACTAAATAATACACATCAACTAAAACATAAATGTATATGTACAATGCTTAGAAGTNCAAACACAAGCCCCGAAATCGTGACAAGTGAGTAAACTCGAGCTCACAAGAGAACACTCACCTTCTTCCAACTGTTTGCGTAACTGCTCCAGTTCCTTCTGGAACTGTCGAAGCATAGCATCTTTCGGATCCTCGTTGATTTTGGCATTATTCTTGATGTTCTTCGCTCGATTTGCATAACGAAGTGTGCTTAACGATTCTTCGTAGTTGTAATCACTTGGAGCGATATTAGCGATCTGTATAGGAGACAATTATTACAGTAGGGGATGTGGTGAAAAATTCAACTTGCTAGTCTGTTGTTTTACCTGCGCGGCTCAAGTACACATCGAACCATCATTGTTGATGGGAGGGAGNGAGTGAGCCAGGAATGATTTGATCTCCTGCTTGTAAGAGTTTTAAATTTATTTACAAATTACATAAAGAATAAACATTTCTGCTTACATATAGTTCATCAATTCATGAAGTTATCGAAACATACAACATCATGCTGGCTGTGTGTGTGCAGTGTGTCTGGCAGCAACATCTTACAAAATGGACGAGGGAATGTAGACAGTGCAAAATATTGACAAAAATAGAGATTAGAAAGGTGCAACGGGAAGAGATCTTTCCCGGGGAACGTAAATCATGTTTTTACGGTCATTGTGCGGGTTTCAGTGCACTATAATTAACCCAGCACTACTGTGATCTGGTTTTGATCTTTAGCTTTCAACTAACCCGTCGGTCCACCAAGGAATAAATGAATGAGGGGGAAACAAAACGCTGAGTCGGACGAACATAAGGGATATACGATAGGATAAGTGAGATATGCTCAGAAATTGAACAGACGCACGCGCGAGGACGCTTGCAACATTTACTCTCGCCAGATCACCATTCCAGATGCTAAACACACTGTCTACGTGGCGATGCCCATTTATCAAGCTTTTCATTAATTCAAGTCGCGTTTCGAGGGCACACATTTCGTTCTTCCAATCAATACTTGCCTCGGTAAATGTCACCAGTTGAGGAGTCCGAATGCGGAAACAGGGTGATAACACTTCCACAACTCTGGTTTCACAATCTTAATTGCTTTGATTTCGGCAGTTAGTAAAATTATTTTACGTAACAACAATACTCTGTGAACTATCGCACCCCTCTAGAAATTTCCGAGCCGAAAATAAAACGCGTATACAATTGAGACGGAACAAAAATGTTTGGAAAAGGAAACGTGCCACTGTCTAAAAACTCGGTTATTTTATAGTCTCGAATGCTTTTGGAAGTCTTCGTCAGTACTGTATAATTAAAAATATCGGGCTGCACAGGTAAATGTATGAACACTGTTCAACCAGTCATCTGAGTCCGGTGGCTCACTCAGGTTACTTCCATATGGTTTCCCTCAGGAAATTATGAATCGTCAACCAGTTACTTAGAGAGCAAACCGTCCTGAAACTAAACCCATTGGTGGAGATATTGAATAGTATGATGAAATTCACGATCTCGGTCTTCCAACCATTTCTGCATTTATCGTCAACTAAGTGTTGCTGGATTAAGAACCAAAAGTGCCGCAATGATCGAGATATCGGACATTCCAAACGGAGTTGGAACAGAAATTTAGAGCTAGTGACTTTGGCTATCATCAGGCTGTTGTGTAATGAGTAGCTTGGCCCCCAAGAAGATTTTCGAATAGACTGCAGAGGAACATTTGGCAATGGCCTTTGATCACAGGACTTCCAGGTACTAAAAAGTTGCAATGGAATCTTACATAATACCGATACTTTAGGTTTCTGCCTTTCAGTGAGGCTAGATAATCTCTCTAAGTCTCGTCGAAATGATCCATCTTTTCATTTCGCGTAAATATCATACTGTCTGATGAAGTTTATCTACAATATTTTGCAAACCGAGGTTTTCTTAATTCTCTATATACGCATTGAGGCTGCATTCAGGATTACAACCTTCTCTCAACACCATCTGAACGCGTAGTGAAGCGTCATCAAAATAGCATAAACTGAAACTTCGTAATTTTCCCATTCATACCAGTTGATCTCACTATTTGTTTTCAATCCACGTTACGGATTTCACACAACACGAAATTGTGCCATTCAATAATCCTATGATTCTCGTTTCCTCACATTTATTCCCTTTCACTGAATATAAAATCGCAGACAATTTCCAGAAATGGTTAATCAAGGGGCTGTCATGTGATACAGCGGGAAGAGGTAGGTTGGTAGGTGTTACCGAGGGCGTTCGAACACACGACCGCCGAGGGAAATAGACCACCGCCGTTAATCAAACGATATGTGTGATATTATCTGTCGGAGAAACAACTTCGCGTGTCCTATTGGTCATCATTCATGTCTTAGCCCAACCGAGGACATCAGTCTTCAATGAGTTCTTCGGGAACGTATCTCACGTCAAATTTTCTACACCAGTCAATACTTTGTACTAGTATCAGAAATAGTAGTATCGGTGCTTGAAAAGCCATCAGATAGTTGAACAGATTGAGTGAAACGAATCGTGCTTTACATGATCATGTGAGGGAAGCCTTTCTCACCGAAACTCTCGGGTTTTATCATAAATGCATACCTCATATTATTATGTTTTATATTATTCACTTCAGTTGAAGAAAACCTCAGATAGGATTTTACAGAAAAACTAACCGTCGTGAAATGAACAGTCAATGACCTGCGAGTATAAAGCTACAAACCTTCAAGTAGTTGTAACAATACGCTATCAACTCAGAGGATGTTGATTTCGGTTTTACAAGTAATATTCTTCAAACTGTCAGGCTTAACGGTACAAAATAAGCCATGCAAATAGTATCTGGGGGTGGGGGTCAGTTTGGAGACATACCATCACAGTTTTCGAATTGCCACCAAGTGAGTCCTGCAATAATCGTGTGAGTTTCGAATTTCGATATGGCACGTGAGTCGATTTACCATCGACCAGAGCGGAGATCACATTACCCAGAGTAGTAAGGGACAAATTTATCTTATTGGCTTCTTGTAAACGCTTCCCACTTGCACCAGTTTTCGTTTGACGTTCTGATCCCTGAACAAATGAAGGATAAGACAAAAACGAGTGATGATGATGAAGAAAACTGGGGAGGCATTGGCGTAACATCGTTCATCTTTTAATCACATAATGCTTGTATAATTAGATTATACTGTGAGACAAAAGTTGGGTGTGTACAACTGGGTGAACAGCGGGAGGTGCACTATTAGAGAGACCCTTAATGGCGAAAAATAGTAATACTTGAGTGCACTCGAGAGTAACAAAACTATCCTTTGCTAACCAACATTGATAAGAAGGCGCGCTTTTCAATGCGAAAGCGACTATCAATCAGTATTGCAGAATAATTTGAATATACTAAAGCATTCTGGTGCTACGCGGTGCTCTGTGACAATAAATCGCTGGATATTTCAAAGGAGACTGTTCACAATTTATATTCAATCGAACAGTTATCAGAAATTTTGTCAGCATCTAAGGAAAGATGCTAACTCAAAACGAACGAAAATCTCTAGTCAGCCAATGAAGACGACTTTGATGTGGTTTGCCGCTAAAGGAAAATCGTGGTGATTTGCACATGGTGAAGAGTATTGTGTCTAAGAGGGCTATCGAGCTAGCACAAAAATGCATCAGTACTTTACAGCTTTCAAAGATTGTTTACACTTCTGGCCAGGCATGCAATCCTACAAAGCAAGGGAAAATAAACGCCTCATACCGATAATCCTTTTCGGTTTGCAGTGAACGTCTTACCACGCGATGCAGTGGGCAACAGTCGACCGGAATCACGCCATAGGTACTGATAGCATGCGTGCTGACGGTAGTATTTTCAAGGCTTGTGAACCGCCTTGTATCATAGCCATTTGCCAGAAAAAAATAGCACTAAAAAGTCAAACGGTCATTGTCACCAATTTCGAACTTGATCGTTTTGTTTACTTTTAGTGCTGCCAGCTGAAACCCATCGATACATCCGACATGGCCATTGCCGGCCGATACCAGTGAAACCGTTATCAGTGACTGATCAAGCAAACCAAAGGATGCAATAATTCACTATGCAGCATCAACTCGCCATTGAGAGCAAGAAATTTCAGGATACCCAATTTATCGTTCTAATGAACCATGAACAGTGTATGTGCAAGCACTGCAAATGAGTGGCAACCCCGCGTAGAACGATATAATTTGCTGCTAACATCAAAATGTATGGCTCAGGGTATCACAGAAGATTCAAATTTCTTCGACACATTACGCCTGCCTGAGACTATTTTTTAATTCCTATATAAATAAACAGTAGACTACCAGACATAATGAGAGAAGCAACGAAAGTTAAGTAACTTATTTTCTCTGATTATTTTTGTCATAAATATCCCACGCCATTTTTCACCCTACCGAAAATTACTGACTAACATAACATGCCACAGTTCTTAAAATTTACTCATTATTTTCATTTTAACACTGGTAACATGTCTAATCTTTCATCCAGACGGGTTACCTCAGGACTGCAACCAAAACTACCGCATGCAAATACATGGTTAATGAATGTAAAAGCCGAAACTAAAATAAATCATCATTCCGAATTCCCGAGGGGCGGGACATAGCAGAAGACTGGCTGGGACAAGCTTTGTTGCATGTCTGGTTGATCCCATTCCTATTATAAACTAACGGTCGGAGTTGGTGAAAGAGAGTTGATGTACTGGTAACCACTCAGCACTGCACAATTGTTCTTAGCCACTGATGGGAGTTAGCGGCAATGCATACCTTTCATCTCCTTGCCCGAACTACCAGCTTCGAATTGGAAACCTATGGAGTTAAACTGTTGAGGTTAAACAACTTGAGAAAATGGCTACATTAGGTTAGGAGTTACCCGAGAAACTTTGCAGGTACTGTCTTTCTTTCGATTGCTTTGCTTCCTTTTATCAAGCAAACAAATGTATAACTTTCAGGAGGCGGATAACGATGCAGCCATTAAGGTGCTGTCTAGGGATGCACGGTACAACAAATTCGGGCGGAGTTAGTGGGCTTCGAATACACGTCTTCAGGAGCGATAAGCTAGGCACTGAGTACGACTTATGAAGTCCGCAAAATCAAATGGGCAGTTTGAACAGTAACAAGGCTTGTGCTTATTCGTACTGTAGTTGGAATCAGGCGTTCCTGATCATGCTTGTACCATCGACTATCTAACGTGGGAACAGCATACAAATGTCCTTATGTGAGAACAAACCACACATTTACCCACCCCCTCTTATCTTCAACCGTTGAATGGGAAATATGTGGTCCAACAACCGTGAATCGAATCAATTCCAATTTTTTCTCTAGTACTCCAGGTTTCATTACCGAAAGATCATTGAGAAGCCAGCTTTGCAGATAATTTGGGTTTCACAACTGAATCGACATTTAAGAGGGATTAATTTGCGTACACGCTTTTATGAATTTATACATCAAGGCATTTAGTCAGAAGCGAACGAGACAGAGTTAATCTAGATACCGTGGCACTTTTTGATGGATGGTACAAACTAGGGTTCACATAGTGGATGCGTAATGCACGAAAAATTGCAGATGTGGGTATATGATTTGCAGGAAACTACGCACTGAATTTGTTTACATATGATTGGAAAGTGCCAAAAGCGTAGGATGGTTTCCAGGAGGACAGAGGAGAAATTCCAGAAATCCAAATTCAGTTTATTTCAAAGATTTCGCAATAAAGGTAGCCATTTTGTCAATGAACTTACCGCCAAATCGACCAAATGCAATTTGCCCTGACGCAACAAAGGTTTTTCCCGGTCCATGTTCTCACTGCATTCCAAGGTAATAGTATAGATGGCGTGAGATCGGGAACTGTGCTCGTTCATGTTTGTCGCTCCTGTAACACCTTTAAAAGCAAGAATGACTGTCGGGAGTTTGTGCAGCATTGTTCTGATTGGATAATGCAAAACATTAGTCGCGAACCAGAGAAATAGATCATTTTGGATAAACGAGCTAGCCGCTAAATGATAGTTATTCACTCGTTGACGGATTGACCCTAGAGATCCACGGACAGAAGAAGGAACAGTGAGTTGATTTGGCACATGGAAGATATGTATTTCAGCTGTTACGACCATGAACCATGCACTTTCGTGCGCCGGTTTTGGTTTCTGTTTCATGACTGCCCATTTGGACAGAAGAAAGTTTGGAATGTTGCCTGCGGACTCCTAGATACACAGACAATTCATATGGACTGATGTTGCAAGAATAATATATAGATGCACGAGCGCCACTGTTTGCGATAATCAGCCACATCACTCAAAGTCTCTTACCACTGGTTACGTTGATCCCGGGGGGTCCATCCACGAAGCGTAGAACATACGTCCTTGGTCTTCACGTACAATTTTCCCTTCATTTATACTACCAGAAGCTGATATCAGGGCAAATTAACTGCATAATTGTTACTGAACACAGAATCTGAACAAACGGGTTGGCCCTATATGAGTTATTTGGTGATAAGATAGTCTGAACCTTCTATGCGACGGGTCTGGAAATCAAATATCGGATGAGACGGTGGAAATGGTTTATTGATGAGTTCTGATGTGAGCGAAATTCGAGACGGTAATTGATCAAGAATAGTCCCAATATTCTTGGAACCACGAGACTACAAACCTCCAGATTGAAAGTTACTGGTCACCGACAGTTCGCACAATGTCATAGTTATTGGACTTTCATTGAGACTAGGTTTACCCAGAACTTTATCACTTTGGGGGAATGAATGCACTTGCTTAGTTTTCAGCACTCAAAGGCACACAAGCTTAACAGTGACAGTTGAATATAAGACAAGAAACAGCAGTGATTAAAACCATCCATTTAGTTACTGATTAACATAAATCAGATTTCCTTCAGCGAGCCCCGGACTAGCTACTGTGTTCTGCATACAGGGGAAATGGCCGACGCTCTGATACCCAGTGGCTTACAATTAACGTCAGCATAACTGATCCGGCCATGCCATCATATTTGGTGCTCGCTTGATAGAAAGCCGATGGAGTAACTATTGCAGTCAGTTTTCCCCTCGAATCACTCGCCACGCGGATCAAAGGTGAGTCCAGCTTCGTCCGCAATCAAAATAAATCCAACTGCTGGTGATTAATTTGACTAAACTGGAATAGACCCCAGTGGTTGATAGTTTGCAACATTCGCGCCCCAACGAGAAGCAAAAGTCGAACTACCCAACTTAGTCTTCTGGGCACACAATCTTTTGGTTTTAGCACTGCAAGAATTGCCCGCCTTTATTGGCCCTTAATCACCACGTGCCCTGAAAAACAATGCCCACCGAGGGGTTTTTCCTGCATGCAATTATCCACAAACGTGAATTGGAAAATCAGTCTACGGCAATTGTGAGTGTCCTCTAAATTCTATGAAATTTCCCAAGTACCCGACATATCGACTTTAACAACGTTAGACCTTTATTACTAACATATTCCAGTCACAAAAACGTTAGGCGATTCAAACAAAAAAGTGACCATCAGTTGTATTAAAAATTAATCATTTCGATAACCGGTTGACAACGTGCACGAACGGGGTTGGATGCATGCCGACAATGACCTTTCGTCATATGAGATTTGGCATCATCAGCAGTGCTTTCCAAACATACTATTCTTCAATCCCGTTGGTTCATTCGTCCTTCGGGACCATCCGCCATGATCTTGGCGTGTTAACTTAAGAACTCCGTTTGCTTTTACTTTTTGTCATACTCCATATCTTTTTTGTGGAATTCAATGATGAAGACTCTGGAGCAAGTTTGAAGATACTCACTCTTCCTCCGGAAACCACGCTTCTCATTTTTGAGTGACAGGGCACACCGTTACACAATCGGATACGATTTGTGCTCTTCTAACAATAATTGATCGATGAGCATTTGCAACCATTGCAGGCACAATAGTGAGTTATAGGATCTTCTTTTCAGAGTAAAGTTCAATATCCCATCAGCATTCGTGGTATCTATGATCTGCAGATTTCTTCCTTTTGAATTTGTCACTGGTATTCGACACCATGTATGCCCAAAATCTCGTGAACAATACAGATTGAATTTGCTCTCATCAATCCGTATAATCTCATGTCGAAGAGCCTATTACCATTGCAGCTGTTGAACATAATTAGGAAGAAATGTTTCAAAAGCAAGTCTTTAAATTATCTCTTACTCTTCTCCTCGTTATCTAGTAAGATCATGATCACTGGTATTCGATGAATACTTTTTTTAACTTTAATCAGTTTCCGTTCGTATTCACGCATGACTGATTTATCGACCAACGGTCAAAGGTATAACATTCCCGGTTGGTGGTGGCGGTGGGAAGGGGCGAACAACTAATCCTCACCCCACCAAAACTTTCATCCTCGCTCGGTAATTCACTCAAAAGGTACTTTGGTTTGTTTACGGAGAAATGAATGGATATTCTGGTTGGACGGGGTTTTGATAAACCTGGTGTTGTTTGACGACTGAAACACTAAGCATCTTGTGGAACTTCCAATTAAAAGCGATTGGTTGGATTCATTTGAAACTGAAAAGACATAGACCGTTCTGCTTTTACTCTGTGCAGAGGTCGGAACACTTTGGTCACGTTTACAGTGTGAGTAGTAACAACGAGATGCGACACAACGGTACTTGGATTTGACCTTATTAGTTCACTTCTCAACCACACAGGGTGATGCTCACGGATACGCTTAGATGAAAGATTCCTTTGAACCAATGCAATTTTTTATGTATTTCCGGCATTCAAAGGTACACCGGACAAAATGCTTTACAACGGTGCAAGTAAACAGTGAAACAGTTAACAAAATTTCAGTTATTTAGTAAGAGCCAATTTCAAATGATTCACTAGCTACACCTGGTCGTTACTGCTGCTCCAATCAGTTCTTTCTGTTCAAACGAAAGGATCTCACAGATGCTACTGGTTTATGGGCTACCTTGATTCCCAACAGTCGGAGTAAGCATTTTTGTAGCTTCTGACGCGCAGCGCATTTACCTTGGCGTCATCCCAATTTCCTCTTTCGTATTCCTTCTTCTCTAACCCTAATTCACGCGTTGATAAGACTTCTGGGTATGGGTTAGATACGAGCAGTTACAAGAGACCAATTCGTTCACTCGCCCCTAGCTCCTTTGGTTTAATCGTTGAAAAGGATTCGCACACAACTTTTCAAATGACACAAAGGATGGTTATTTTTATAATTGAGGAAGCGATCTGTCGTGGTCAGTTTGCAGTAGACTGTGGTCTCTATTTTTCCGTCAGGTTGCCTTAGGAGAAGAATATGGAGGAAGGAGAGTTGTCAATATTATTCTTCCTGTCGTGTGAAGTTGATCCCAAGCACCTGCTCGTTTATGATTTGGTGGAACTGATCTGCCGTGGAAGCGCTGGGTATGATGAATGCGTCGTCCACATATCGTATCCACAGACGTGGTTGTAGAATTTCGGAAACCTTGGCTTCAAAGTGCTTCATAACCGCATCTGCAAGCAGGCTTGAGATTGGCGAACCTATAGGAGTTCCTCGTATCTCCTGGTACATGTTCCTGTTGAACTGGAAGTAGGTTTCCACACAGAGTTGCACGAGTTTCACTTTTTCTTCCACGGATAGCGTCGTTCTTGATTGCGAATGTGAATCTTCTACCTTTCCTTGCTCTTCTTGCACATTCTGATCAAGGCTGGAATAAACGTCGCGGTGATCAGACCTGGTGTAGAGGTACTGAGAGACTAGCTTCCGCTTTGGCTTTGGGTTAGTGTAGTCCGCCTTCTAGGTTTGAACCTAAGGGCTGATGATTGTTGTTGGTCAGAGACGCTGATAGAAATGAACCAGAACAAAAGTCCGTGGCGTGAATGCCGTACGGTCTACCCTATAAAAACGATAAGATAACACTAAAATATCGAGAACTGTACACTGAAACACAAATAATTTTGGTTGTTCTTGTAAGCTGCCTTCATCCATTGTAACCGTTCTCATTCTCTTCTGTATCACAATCTACCCATTTTCTGTTATGGTTTTTATTGTTGTTGTGCTGGCGTCGGTTTAGTGACTCCGATAGTTTCTCTCGGTTAAAGTACAACAATTTTCTTCAGCGAATTTGCACTCTGGAATTGCCTGTTTGCCAGAAAAGAGACTGATAACTCCAGAACATGAGCTTCCCTCGGCACAATTCACATGTTTTTGAGCTGACTTAACCTAAACAAAATATATCATGAGTTTAAATCTTCCTTCCCTTAGGTGAATTATTTTATAAATTGCTTGTACACGCTACTCTCCGAAGATGGTTTGTTGAAATTCTTCGAATGTGACGCTTTGCTAGAAGTTAGAAGAGTCGGATAATGTGCGGGTTGCGGTGAGATGTCGTCCGCTTAATTCAAAAGAGATCGCAAATGGATGCAAGTCGATAACAGTGGTAAGTTCTAGAATTAGCGTGATCTTTATTGTTGACCACATTGCACTCCCACTGATGTTTAACATTTAGAGCTTTTTCAACGCAATTCGTTATTGAAACCAAACACAGAGAAAGAAATTGAATGCATGCGTGCTGTGCACCTCGGCTATATTCGGGCTGCTCATATGTGCTGATTATCTATAGTTTTTAACTACTGATTGCATCTTCAGTAGCAAAACTGAGGTCTACACTTAAACCCTTGAAAATAGGACTTCTGGTGACCCGGAAAACCTGATACAATATAATGGATAAAATAACTGGGTTCACTTCCTTATTTTATTTGTTGAGTACACAAGTGTACGGTTAACTTTAGGGAAGGTAGCCGCATCCATAAAAAGGTTGCCAGAGGAATCGCAGGAATAAGAAAGATAGGTGACGGTGGCGGAACTCGAATTCAGGACAACCAGGTAGCTACAGTCTATCTCCTGCTATGTCGCACCCCTCGGGACTTCGAAAAAGTGGGTAGATTCCAGGAAC